ATATTCGTGTCGAAATATTAAAAAAAAACGGAAATAGAAAAGAATGAAAGGAAACAATACCACTTTTAGTCATTATTTCACATTAAATTCGTCGAATTTCAGCGAATGAATCTTCTGAGTTTAGTCTTCTGAGGGCGTATACCGAAGGGTTAATTCAAATTTAAAATAAAATCTCTAAATTCAGTTACTATATAATTCAATTCTACTAGTATAAAAAGCACAATAACAGCAATAACAGCAATGCTTATACAATGCAATTCGTGTATAGTAAAACTTAAATTTTTCGAGATATCATTGCTTCATACAAAAAAAAATTCATTTAAATTTAAATTAAAAAAATAAAGCAGGTATATTGAAAAACCAAACTACATTTTTTAAGAAAATTTTAGATTGCTTCATCATTAAGCCTGAAAGAATATATTTTATGGATTGTGTATATGACCAACCGGATTACTGTGGGAAATTAGTCATCTAAATTTTATTCATTATTAAAAATTCTATGAAGAAATATTAAAAATCGAAATATCAAAGCCTTTAGACTACTTGCGACACTTAAATTTTCTAGTGGTTGTTTTTAGTTTTTTCTTTTTATTTGACGAAAATCTTAAAAAACGAATAAAAATGCCTATTGTCACATGGTGAACATGAAATCTATAAAGAATGGAAACTAGAATAATTATTGCTCATTTATAGCCCTTATAACACAGTCATTCCATTTTTTTTTTTAAATTTAATAAGTAATAAATTTACTTGAATTACTTTCAATTTTTATCATAACGTTTGTATCAATGATTGAATTATCTAAAATAAAAAATTTTGCTTTCATAAACAGTTTTTTTCAAATTAAACATTTTATGACCATCTTGTTTAAAAAATTTATTTGTAGTTTCTTGATTAAACCATTTTTCGATCGTTACCAATCATGCACACATTTTCTCGCTCCTGAAAAAAAAGTTTTTCCTTTAATCTATCATCCGTTTTCTTTTAAGATCTTTAAACCTTTGATCTGCTTATTTCACTGAGACGTTTCAATTATAAGAGTATCAGCTGAGAGTATATTATCTACAAAATATATTCAAATTTGTGTTTCTACAACTTTTTTCCCTTTCTTTTATAGAAAAATTCCGATTTTTTTTTCAAATGGTATATATATATATGGTATATTCTTTTTAGCAAATAGTATATATATATATATATATACACACAAGAATTATAAAATTTCATTCGCATTTATTCATTTATTCACTTTTNATATATATATGCATAGATAGATAGATAGATATAGATAGATATAAAGTGATTCTTTGTTAATCATTTAAATAATCATTCGATTGTCCTACGCTTATGATAATTTTTTATCAACTAATTAAAATTGTCAGATAAATCCAACGATTATTGTTAAAAAGGTAAATTTAAACTAAAATATTCAATACGCCAAAAAAATTTTGAAGCCACTCATCATATTTTTATTGGTGCTCTTAAAAGTAACACAATAAAGTAAATTTTACGTTAAAATATATGCTGAGAAGTAATTTCAGATTTAACGTTTTATAAACATTGTACTACGGTTTCTTCAAATGTGATTAAAAATTTTGAATTCTTAATATCTGCTCATAATAATAGTTTTTTTTCTATCAAAATTTTTCCTCTTTGAATAATAGGAATAAAGAGGAATATAAATAATGTGTAAAACGCTGATAACATTATAAATACTTCAAAAAATCTTTCTCGTTATTATATACCTTTTATGCAGCCATTTTTCGAATGCATGAAAAATTTATTGGCATGTACAACTATAATGAAAAAAAAAAATGCATTCGCCATGGAAAATATCTTAATAAATGCGAGAAAGCAATTTCAATTTTTTTATAAATTTTTGACAAATCCTCTGATTTTGTTTCATTAGAGTTTAGGGACTATAGTAATATCAGATCATAAGTATTTACTTTGAGTTAAATTTTGATCGAATCTATTTCATTTGATCGTATTAGCGTTAAAACGCAAATGCGAACAATATTCTAAATAAAATTGTACGGAAGCATAAATTTAGAAAGAAAGCTTAAAAATAACTAAAATTGTTAATTTAAAAAATAAACAACTAATTAAATGAATGTTTCCTACCATTGGCTTAAAAACTATCTGGTTTTATAACTATTAATCAAAGCGGAGAAATCTAAGTTTTACGTAAATAATAGACTCGGAAAACATTTTTATTCATGAAAGCGATCATGATAATTAAAAGCACAGCAAAAAAAAAAAAGTAGTGTAAAACTATTGAAAGAAAAATACAATAGCAATGATCATAAATTCAAAAAGGTGATAAAACTATTCAGATAAAAAACAAAGCCAGACAAAACAAAAGTATTATCATAATCTGCTATTGATAAAACCGTGATCTTAGAATCCTCGCCAGAGGTGCGAACAGCGTTATTAAGGTTAATGCAATGTTATTGATGGGCAGACCATACTCATTAATGAACTGCTGAAATGTTACTTCGTGAGGTAAAGGTCAATGGATAAGGGGTCTAAAGGTTACCACCCATCGTTGGTGGGCAAAGTAACTTCAATAAGTAGTAATGGCTCCCTCGAAGTTGGAACAAATTTTTCGAAATTGATTGCTGAAATCTTCTGCCTTCTGGACAGATAAAAGAAAAATGATAGTACATTAAAAGAGAAAGATTATAAAGTAATTCCTATCAATATAATTCAAGTAAATTTAGCGTAATGATACATCTCTTTCTCATCAATGTGTAGATTACCTACCAAATATTAAAGACGATATCTGCTTAGTATGTTAATTAAAATTTAGAGAAAATAGGTAAAAAGGTCAAAAGAAAAAGATGAACTTTAAAACTAATCTTACCTCCGTCTTCACGACTAATAAGGATGCATATTGGGACTTTTCAATGAAAAAAAAGTGCTTACCTGTCGGAGATCGGAAATAAATTTCCTCCACAATAAAATTGAAATTAAAAAAGATTTATACTATACTGTGCAAATTAATTTTCTTTTTCTAAGCAAATGGAGCTGCAAGCTTAATTTCCTTTGAACCATATTAATATTATAATGTAGAATTTTTCCATATGTGGAAACGTTTGACAGTATATTTCAGCATGACTTAATCTCTTTTTCATGACTCAGAAATAATCAAGAGATTAACGTTAAATCAAAATAATGTTACTTGATTTGCATAGAAATGCATCAAATATTAAATCTGATTGAGAATTTATACTTAAAAAAAAGCAGGATTCATAATGCTGCCAGTCTGGTTCTACAGTGATGAAATTAAGAATATGTGCATTAATTCACGCATACAATGTCAAAACATATTCAAGAGTTCATTACTGCTAAAGGTGGAGATACTGCATATTCATACACTGGAATTGTATGAGTTTGACCTAGAAAGGCTGAAAGCATTTGCTAAGTTTGCATCAGTACAAAATATAAAGAAAAAAATTTAACGCAAAAACAATTCTTGCTTGATTTTTTATAACTAATATCTACATCTTATATAAACCTGCAAATGGTTTAAGCATTTGAACTTTTATTGAGGAACACAAAAATCGGTATGTTTTCTACGAAATCATAATTTGTACGCTTTCAGCGTACAAATTCCAGAAACGTAGTACCTAACATGGTTAGGATTTCTCTGGGTATCCACTTATTTCTGTGTTTGTATTTGCTTCTGCTTGGTTCTTAAGAGAGAGAAAGAGTAAATAATATTAAGACTTCTGTTTAGTTAAGAATTAGGATTAAGGATTTTTCTTGGGAAAAGAATTAACGAATAAGCGATTATAGAAAAAATAATTCGTTTTGTTGGAGCGTTTTTGCTACATTTCTTGACCCAGCGATTAAAAAGTATTATCAATTTTCATTGTTTTTCTTTTTTATAAGTTATCAATCCGATTGATTTTATAAAAAAAATGTTTTAGTTAGCTCTAATGGTTGTACTATAGCCCGCGTCAAACCGGAGCTTTGACGTCAGTAAATAATTTTACCATTACCTTTGTGGTAGCACCTGAGTTTGCAAACATTTCTTCGTGAATCAGAAAAATTATTTTTTTATTGCCAAAGACATCAAAGAAAATATTTGTTACATATCTTTATTCGAGAGTTATTTCAAACGCCCTTTTTTGGAATATTAGATAGGAAAAAAAAATCTATTTATTTTTAAAAATATGAAAGGATTTTCGTAGATGAAAAGAAAGTATTACTAAAATGCATTTAATTATCAATTACTTTAACTAATATACTTATCTTAAATGACCTCTAGGAAAGGATATAAATTTCAAACCAGAATGTAATAAAATGTTAAATTTTTTATACTAAACTGCACTATTATCTAGCCAATAGCTGAATTAAAATACAAATATTTTTGTGAAATTGAATAGATTTAAAATTCCTTTTATAAATTTAGTTATTTCAATAAAATCTTCCAAAAATTAATTACCTTTAACTTTTTTCTCAAATGAGTTTAAACTATATCCAACTATAAAAAAATGCTTAACATGTTATATCTGCATGTTTATCGTCTCATAAACATTTGAATTATTCCTTACATCTGCGTAATCTAACAATATTTTTTAATTTTAACATTTTTGCCATATATTCTTCGGACATTTCATATGAAGTTAATTCCATTGATAATCTAATACAACTGCAATATTATTTATTCTTAAGCGTATTTAAACTTACTAATTATTCCTAAAAAGCATCTAAAATAAACTTTGAAAGCAGTATGTACAAATTGCATCAATTTTGCATTGACATAATCAGATCGAATTTTTATTTCAGTCAATGATATATTAATCAAAATATTATTTCTTAACCTTTCACCGAGCGTTATAAAAATATATCGAGTTTTAATGTAATTTGGAATAACAAAGCTAAAAGTGGAACGCAGTTTATTTATTTTTTCTTACTTATTTATTTTTCTAAAAGACAATCTATACAACTTGGCCTAAATAATTTCTAATAATACAAAAAATACTAGAACTTACTTGAACTCTGGCTTCAGTCAAGTCAACCCTCATAGCAAGTTCTTCTCTGAAATTAAGAATAAAATATGATTGGAATTCGTCAATAGAAAAGAAATATGTAATTACTACGTACCTAAAGAGTGTTTTGAAAAATTAATTTTTCATCGAATCAGGATTATTAATGATTGATAATAATAAGGCGTTACAATCAAACAGAAATATAGTGTGAAAAAAAAATGTATTGCATCCAATTTATATTTTAAATTAATTAATAATTTTCAGCTACTGAAACAAATAAAAAAAATTATTATTATTTCTCAAGTTAACAATAGACGATTGTATTCTTTTCGCAATTTTCAGTAGAGATAATAAGTTCTGACAAGGATATCAATGATTTGTATTTTTTAAAACAAATGATGACATAGATTTACTTTGATGAAATTTTATTTGAATAGATTTTATCTTGGTTAGTTTACGTATTAAAAAATGTTAAGCAATTGTAATTTTAAAAGAATTTTTATTTTAATTATTTTAGCGATTGAGAAATTGAAAATGGAAAAATGAAAAATGGAAAATTACAAGAAAAGTATATGTTAACGTACATGCACAATAAACAATTAAAAATTGAATTCTATTGCTTTTTTCCAAACTTTTAAACAATATTGATAAGAAGAACATTTTTTTTAGTTAATAATATATTGTTTGATATTAATGCAATCCAAATTCTGAACTTCACTAAAGATAAGTTTTATGAGAAATTATATTTATATAGCTTAAATTGAAGAATTATAATGTAAAGTAATGTTTACGTAAAAAATTATTTAGATTAAACTTAATTTCTTTAATCAACTTGTTTATAACTTATTTTTACTTAAATATATCAATCAAGTAATTTAGAAAAACCTTTTGAGCATTGTGCCATTTAAATATTTGAAAACAACAACCATTTTTTTAAACATAATGAAAAACTCAAATACATTATATCTATTCTAAATAATTTTTTAAAAGTTTACTAAATATATTGAGACTAGAACTATATTGATCTATATTTTTTAAATCCATTCATCTAAACTTTTTTAAATCCCGGGTATGTACCAAATCTTTGAAATTTTTTTTTATGAAAAATGCGGGAAAATGATGTCAAATCAAAACCTTTATAAATATGATTTACATGTTATGTGTTTTGAGAATAAAGAAATACTCCCGTTTAAAAAGAAATAAAAAATAAAAATAAATATATAAATAAAAAACGTAATAATAAATAAAATTTAAAAAAATAGATAGGATAAATAGACTTTTTTTAAAAAATAATCCTAGTTTCATTTATCTACTTGCTCTTAACAAAGAATGCGACGCGTTTCGCATATTCACTACAAACATCGACAAAACAAACTCATAAATTGTCATAAGCGTTTTAAGCATTATATTATAGAAAATAACTATTACCATGTTATGTCAAATTTAACAAAAGAACTCTTAAGTATCTAATTCTTTTATATTTATCATCGAAATGCTAGCTTTGCAATTTCTGTCATAAATAATTTACCCTATTAATCCAGCTGATTATAGTAAAATTTACATATAGTAAACTTATATAATATATTACTTTTATAGTATTTCTTTTTATTACTATATTACTTTTGTAGATAGTAAAATTTACATTAAAAAAACATAATTCTGGGACTAAAACCAAAATATTTAAACCATTCATGCTGTAATTTTTCCGTTCGTATAGTGACGGTTTGCTAGAAACTGGAAAATCGACAGTAAAAAATAAAATAAAAATGTATCAGTGATTTTATTCTCCTAATATTACGACGCTATTTATGAATTTAATTAATTGAACATGCTTTCAGTTTATCTGACAATTTTAATTTTCCGACACAACTCTGGTTACGAGGGTTTTGGATAATCAGAGTTTTACTGTAAATCATTTTAAAATCTGAACCGTTTTTTTTTTTTTTTTTTTTTTTTTTTTTTTTTTTTTTTTTTTTTTTTTTTTTNAATAACTATTACCATGTTATGTCAAATTTAACAAAAGAACTCTTAAGTATCTAATTCTTTTATATTTATCATCGAAATGCTAGCTTTGCAATTTCTGTCATAAATAATTTACCCTATTAATCCAGCTGATTATAGTAAAATTTACATATAGTAAACTTATATAATATATTACTTTTATAGTATTTCTTTTTATTACTATATTACTTTTGTAGATAGTAAAATTTACATTAAAAAAACATAATTCTGGGACTGAAACCAGAATATTTAATCCATTCATGCTGTAATTTTTCCGTTCGTATAGTGACGGTGTGCCAGAAACTGGGAAATCGGCAGTAAAAAATAAAATAAAAATGTATCAGTGATTTTATTCTCCTGATATTACGACGCTATTTATGAATTTAATTAATTGAACATGCTTTCCGTTTATCTGACAATTTTAATTTTCCGACACAACTCTGGTTACGAGGGTTTTGGACAATCAGGGTTTTACTGTAAATCATTTTAAAATCTGAACTGTTTTTTTTTTTTTTTTTTTTTTTTTACGTGTGTTTAACAGTAAGTTGTGAAACATTTAGACATAAAAAGAGCCTACATTCAAAATCATAAAATTCGCCTCAAATATTTTCCTTTTCATAAAGGCAAATAAAAAAATTTAAATAAATTTAGCTATTGAACATAAAAACATACAAACAAATTTAAGCCTTATCTTTAATAAAAAAAAAAATTGCTCTGATTCATATTCTGTCTTCGAAAAATTGAAAATCTTGCACGTGATTGAAATATACCCTAAAGATCAGATACAAAGGGAAAAAAAAAAACTTTCTGAAATTTGCAAACCAAACCTTACAGCAATGACATTATGATGGGTTCGAGCAAATTGAGAATATTTTTGTTGCTTTTTAATTAAATAATGAATACTCCCGTGTTTGCTATTAGCCAGAAATTGCGCACTAAAAGATTTGGGAAGTTGTGGGGAGGAATTAATTCTCTATAGTCTTGAAAGGAGGTTAGCCATACCAAGTGATAGAAATTAATCAGCAAGGATGAAAATAACAGGTCATCTAATAACAGACTTCAGTCTAAAAGAAGGCGGTAGTCTGCTTTTTGACAGATTGGACAATTTTCTTTTTTTCAACTGCGGTAAATTGCCCAGTCATTTTTGATCGGTAGGATGTATTTTTACTTTTTTTTGCTTATTATTTGACTCGCAAACGAATATCGGGTTCAATAATAGAAAAAATGATAATATTTATTAATTCTATATTTCTTAATACGGGGTTTAGAAGCGATATTGAGAAGTAGCTATTATTTTTAATCAGATCTCTGAAAGAAAGTGTCTGCATCTGTAAAAATATATAATTTAAAATGATAAGAAAAATATTAATTTTTTTCAATAGTTAATATCGTAGAATTGTTTATCGGCTACTTTTCTTTGTTTCATTTTAGAAAATTACAAATGTAAATTCTTGGAATAAAATGTGAATTATTTTAAATAATTAGCTATCGAATGGAGAGAAAAATATTATACAAATTTTAAAACTAATCTTCTAAAGTTTATAATTTAAGTTATCAAAATTACTTTATACAAAAAATGTGTTAAATATTGAAAAAAAACTTAATTGGCGAGCTTAGACAAAGAATATGCCAAGTGCGTAAGAATCATTAGGAGAACACTATTTGGTTTAAGAAACATAAAAAACGTCAGCTGAAAGTATCGAACAGTAATTGTTTTGTCAAGTTTCAATGAGATAAACTGTTTTATTAAATTTTGTGTGCTGCTGCTTTATTTTCTAAAGCCTAAATTAATTGAACACGACGAATAAAATTCTGGTAAAAATACCGAATTAATGATATTTCTGGTAAAGAAACTATTCTGTTTAATAAAATTTCCTCTGCTTAATAAAATTATTCCGTTTAATAAAACCGAAGTATGCAGTATTTAAACCATTCGTGTGATAACTATCTGTTCATCTGGTAACTGTTTACCTGAAATTTCGGTTTAATAATTATAGTTCTTATTACCCCACAATTAGTGAAAAATACAAAACTGAGAGTTAATATAACTTGATAAATGTTTTTTTGTCATGCTCTAAGGTATCATGATAAAATTACCAAATTTTACAACTTTTACCAAATTTTATCACTTATCATTTCATTTTGAAAGCGGCGCTGAACAGCCAACATAATTCTAAGTTTACGATTATCATTTTTCAAATCAGTAGCCTTGTAGTTTTGAACCCAATCCAAAAGACAAGGGATCTGCTGGATCAAGTATTCATACAAACTAGCCTTCGTGGAGGACTTTTTAATGAAACTAACAGCTGCATGGAGAGGAAAACTTCGAAAACCTCCCTCGGTAAGATCGATGGCAAGGGGATTATAATCCATGACCCGTTCACCACCGTGGATATTTTACATCAGTACTGTGTTTGGGGCGAGCACGGAACCGAATTCGTATCAACCAGCCGAGCTGGGATTCGTACCTGGGCCACTTCATTGGGAGGCAAACGCTCTATCCCCTGAGCAACCGTGGCTTTATCACATATTATTAAATCATATTTTATTGTTAATTTTACCAAAGTGTTTCGGTAAAAATTACCGATCTTTAATTAATTAAATTAATTTTAATAGAATAGCATGAATCCTATAAAATTGTGATTATACGTTATTATATGTTTCCATGTTACTGCGAAATAGTTAGGCGCAATGAGCTATAAATTCAAATTGACTTCTTGTGAAGGAAGGAAAGTTACAGAATACCCATTTAATATCACTGATAATCACTCACATATTGACTCTCACAGTTAAAAATGACTGAAACAACCACACCAGAGTTTATAAGGAATGCAAATGAAAATAAACCATGGAATAAATTTAGTACCTTACGTATTCAATGAAGTAAATTATATAACTAAAGAATATCTGTTCTGTAAGTAATTATATCAAACTAAACAAAGTGGATCTCGAATAAGTCTGAGCAATTTTAAATCTAGTTCTTAGATTAAATGTTGAAGATTTGCACATTTTTTCATTCGTTTTAAGTTAAATTTATTAGCTAGCACTATCAGCATATCTAATAGGCAAGATTTGAGGGTCAAAGATAAATTCAAAATGTTTTTTAATCCAGCTTTGACATTTGAGATGATATTCAGAGTTATGAAACTTTTTTAAACTTTCGAATAATACGATTTTCGGCAAATTATTTACGTAAATAATTGAAAACTTTGCTTTTAGTGAAAAATGTCCTCTTTAGTCAAAGTGTAAGTCAAATCTCATAAAAATAGCTAAATATAAATATGGTAACTTAGTTTTTAGTGTAATTCTAAAGTTTAACTTTGGTTGTTTTTTTTTAGGTATACCGTTTTTTAAAAATCAGCCACTTTTTAAAATGGAATGAATTTAGAGCAAATATGATTTTAATAATCATCGAGTAGTACTTATATTCTAACTCTATCATTTTTAGTTAAAATATTTAAGTAATATGGCATGAAAAGTATTTTGAATTGATTTTATAAGTTTAGAGAATTAAATTAGTTTAGTTCTAGTGTGAGAGTAAATTAGTTCCAGTGTAAAATTTGATCATCTTGTATGCTTTGCCAAATTTAAATGTTAAAAACTCTAATTAAAAAAATCAATCTAAATGGTACTTAAATGTTTGCAAACACTATTACAGACCATTATTAACTTTATTGTCATTATTTTAATCCAGTAACGAAACAAAGATAAATTATTTATCTTGATAATGCTTGCTTTCTTGGTATAATGATTGCTACGCATGTAAAGGAAACTTAGAAATTTCTAAAATTTTAAATGAAAGACTCAATAAAAATGTTTTTTTTTCTTTAGAAAATTTTAGCAAATTGGATAAATTTCCTTCTTACTCAACTCAAAACTCGGAATTTCTTAATTTTTCAGTTTTCTGTTGCTTTTATGCTAACAATGAAAATAATTAAATTTCCACCTAAAATGTAACTCGATGGGTTTGTATTTAAAAAATTAGCTAAACTAAAAGCTGAAATTAGCTGAACACTATAAAAATTATTCAAATATGATTTTAAATATAATCCGTCATAAATTTTAACATATAACTCCGATCAATAAATTACTTCTTTATAATATGTGACTAATTAGAATTGAAAGAAAGTAATTCTAGAGAAAGACAATTGAAAAAGAACCACGTCTGCAACTCACGAATCAGGAAAATATCACTTACACATTCACGTTCTCTGAGACAGTTTACTAAACTAATGTCAAAAGTTCAAATCAAGTGCTATTTCTCATCCCATTTCTACGTGTTTTTACCATTCACGTTGAGTTAAAAATTCTGAATCGCGGTGCGTCTACTTAAAAGCAGGAAACATATTTAAAAGAAGGTACTTTTTTGCTTAGTTTAAAAATTACGAGACGGTATCTCGATAAAAATGTCATCTTAGTATGAAATAAGGAACCAAGTTGAAGAACATATAAGTGAAAAATCTGAATGGAAAAATCGCGTGCGTTCGTCAGGGCAAAATGGGCCTGCCTCTTTGACACAAGTGGCCTACTCTCTGAACACTTGATGAGTGGGACTAGTAATTAGCTAGAAGGAATCGCTAGATCGGAACGCTACAACAAGGGGACGCGCAGTTTATTCCGAAATTTACTCTCAGGTTGCCACTGCAAACTTAAAATTTCATTTATAGCAATATACCGTATGCAAAAGAAAATAGCTTTCCATCTAACGATTTTAGTTCCACATAGTCTGAAATAATGTAAAAATTTGCCAACTTTAAAATTCAATATATATATAGATAATATGTATTATAAAAATAATATTTTTCTTTTCGTATAATAATCTGGATAAAAGAGTTTTTAATTGTATGACAAAACTAATTGGTAATTTTAAACAGTTCTAGGAATGTAGTGAAAGTGGCAAAAAGCGATAGATAATTTTTGACAGCTCTCTTGCCTGAACAATTGAGACCACATTTTCCCGATTGCGGCTACCCCCATGCTTTGAAAGTGAAGAATTTAAATTTAGTGAAAAAAGGCTTGTTTATTCAGCGAAATCATATTTTTCGTCTGATTTCGTAACTTAAAACATCGTCTGCGCAAATATTTTAGAATATTTAAGGTTTGTCCCTTGAATCATTAACATTGCATAGTATTATTATTGCATCATTAAACATTGCATATTATTCAGAGAAAGTACGCTTTCGCGTCTAATTTAGTAACTTAAAACACCGTTTGCAAAAATATTTTAACATATTTAAGGTTAGTTTCTTGAATCATTAACATTGCATCTTATTACATGAAAATCCAGTTATTAAATCAAAATTATCTAGGCATTCAATTTTTAATTTTCTGTACTGTGCGCTAAAAAAAATATATGGCATGAATATTAAAGTGTTAATTTATTGCATATTTTATCAAATAATAAATATACAATAATCTGGGATGAATAAAAATTCGGGTCATTATCTATTGAACAAAAAAATTTGTTTTCAACTTTTTTGTCACCTTCGTTCTTAATAACAAATCTTAATTGCATCACCCATTAGAGTAACAATACATATTTAAAAGTTGTTAAATATAACAATGACGTTCTCACAAAATGCGAAAAATTGAACATAGAATTTTATAAAACATTTAAAGCTGCCAAATTATTCCATAATAAGGATGACACTTTACGTATAAACCGAACCTTTTAAACTTATACATTTTAAATTACTTGTATCCATTATAATTATACTGTTTTTACTAAAATGGACAGAAAATATATTTTTGATAAATGAGAATTTTTTAATAAGATTTAGCAGGTATTTTAAAAAATAAAAACTTAAATTAACAATAAATTAACTGTCTGAGAAAGAATTTGAGACACTGCGTTGTTGTGTAATATGAGTTTTTACAATTTTATTATGTGTTTTTTTATTTTAAGATACCTTTAACTCAGTCAAAAAGAAAAAAATCTGTTCCTTGTAATTTCTTTTTCTTCTAAAGATTAGTATTTTTTTGTTTATATTCATTTATATTAGTGCTAATTCATTATGTTTATTTATTTAACAAGACTGAAAGCTGTTTCATAACAATTTATTAAAAATTAAAAACGTAAGGTGTTGCAATACTGTCCTTTTGAATTATATAGAAATGATGTAAGCATTTGTAACACTATATAGTAATACAATTTTTCTATTTTAATAAATGATTAACATATTAATTTTTGATCAAAACAAAATTAAGTTCTAAAAAGTATCTTAACAAAACTAATACTAATTGTCTTATGAATCTTTAATGGAAATAATTTCGAGAAAGAAAAAAAAGAATTAAGTTAAATGTATGAAAACAACAAGTTTACTTTTATGGCAAGTCAAGTAATTAAGATGGCATATAATTTAGCAATATATAACAGTTCCCTAACTGCCACGTGCTATTTCTCTTTTAAGAATAATATGCAACAAGCGATAGACATTACGCAGTCACCATGAGCAAAAGATCGACCCGGTAGCCATAGGTACAAGGTGATGGGCCCCTTTTTCCAATGCAACAGGGGTCCCCCTAATGATGGGACCTCCAATGCTGGGTGGTCTAAAGCATTTCTGTCATATCATGTTCGTCTGTGGTCTCCTGTCTTCAAATTCATCAAATAACGTCAGAAGAAGAAGAAGAAAAAGAAGACATTTTCCCCGAGAATTAGATGTTATTTTTTTTATCGGTAAAAGATCAAGTTCTTCTCCCTGCTTGCTATAAAGGTAATGATACGTGTGAGGACTGCCATTGAGTTGACGAATTGGGCAGTTTAAAAAATCACTTCTTACCTTTTTGTTTAAAGCTAGGATTTGATGGTATCGTACAAAAGGCAAAAGTATAGAGGTTTTGTTGTGTGAAAAAATAATTAGATTATTTTGAATTTCTATACTTCGTGAAATACTTTTAATCCCTCGTTGTGAGAAGACGCATTAAGAATTAAATAAATAATATAATAAAAAGAATTCCTATGCAGGTTAACAAAGACATAAATATTAGTGAAAGAGTATGTGTATACAGTAGTTTAGCAAATTTATAGCTAAACTTTTATAGATGAATCATGATGTAAAATACACTGACAACAAAATGTAAAATATATTAACATTATTTTTTTCATTCTCTTAGATTTTGGTACGAAATATTTTAATAAAACGATTTTATGAAGAAAAAAAAAACCGCAATTAGCAATGGAAACTTAGCATTTAAGGAACGTTGGTTTAACGTCAGAGTGAAAAAAAAACACTCCATGAGAAGTTATTTTCAATAAAAACATTCCGATGTAATATTAATTGTTCTTGAAAATAGTAACACCGCTCTCGATTATGCACATCATAGTTTTATAATTTTACTCTGTTAATAAGAAGTAGGTAAAGTTTATCAAAAAACTTCTTTTTTTTCTTTAAGAAGTTTGCCAATTTTAATGAAATTTACCTGGAAATTACCTGTTACTCAATAAGAAATTTGTATACTTCACAAATCAATTTTAAACTATCTGTAATTTCGAATGCTCGTATTGTCCTGATCTCCAGTTATATTTGAAAACACTGCTCTTAATAATTAATATTATTTTCTTCAAAATCATCTTTCCATTTTTGAATCTGCGATGTAAAAGTATTTATATTAACTTAAACATTTTAACTTTTTTAGGCTGGTACAACATTCTTACGTAGTATACCAGAATATCACGATTGCATTTAGGAAAACTTATCTTAATATACTAAAATTATTTATTTCTACATTATCTTTGAATGCATGATAGGAATTTAATAAATAAATTTTTCCGCATGAAAATTTAAAATTGTTTTTAAAAAAATCATAAGCACAGGATTAAAATTCTCAAAGAAAGATGATGATTTCAAAATGATATACCTTGTGAAAACATCAGGATAATGAGTCCGTGCAAAAGCTCTTTCCAATTCATCAAGTTGATTACTGGTAAAAGTTGTCCTGTATCTACGTATCTTCCTCTTTGGAAAATCATCTCCTTCCATCAAAGATTCTGCAGAAGCTGATCCTTTGTTGTTCTCACCATCATCATCAGCCACACTGATATTTTCATCACCACTGTCCACCTCATCATTACCACCGGTCACTGACAAGTCCTCTGCCACAGCATCTTGTTGGCATGGTTTCATTTGTTCTGGACTTGAAGCTGGTCTAGGGGATTTATCCCCTACAAGGTGCACAACAGATAGTTTGTGATGATGATGAATTGGTTTTCGATGATGAGGCTGTTGATCCTTTTGGTGGGCTTCCATGAGGTTAAGGGTGCGGGCGGCTTCGCTAATGCACTCCTGACGTTCGATCTTATCTGATATGCCCATAGTATTTTTAAAAGTGTTGGAGTGGTGGTCGGTCAAATCCGGCACGATGCCACCTTCCGTGGTCTGGATTGGACCTCCGAGAACGGACAACGTGGAACGCAAATGAGCTGGACGGGGTACTGAAATAAAACAAAAAAACTAAAATTAAAATTTGTTACTAATATTAGTATTTGTATAAGTATATCTTCTAATATGCTAATTAGTGAACGCAACCACAGTGTTAGAAATTTCTCGAAAAAAATGGTTAAATAACAATTTATTGAATGGTTATTTTACCATATTTAATCAAAACAGTCAAGTAACCATAAATAAAATAGTAAACAAACTGTTAAGTTTGAGAAAAACTGTTTATTAACTGCTTTCACCTAATGCGGTTAAGCAACCAGAATTTTATCGCGCCAACTAGAACTACCTAATGAAGTTACTCTTGCAACTGCGTACATCTCATAGCCGAACTTGCTTATCTGTCAGACCGGCAGAACTGGAGTTCGAGTCCTAGTGTTGCACCACAATATTTCCTCCATTCCTTTCAACACATGAAGAATTTCCAGTGTTTACACTCTTCAACGCCCATTACCTTGCGAAAAGCCGAGCTCCTATGTTTAGTTAAATAATTAATTATTTTTTACGTTTTTGAAAAATGCTAGGTGTAAATGGCTAAAAAACCGTATAGTTTTGTATTCATGGTCTTATAACAATACTTTTTGTAAATGGTTTCAAAACCATTAGGGAAAAAAATTTTCTTTAACGTAAACTTTACGGTTAATCATAAAGTTTACAGTAAAGAACAGCTACAGACAGCTGCCAGTTACTTTACCATAAATTTAGAATGGAATTTATTCACCACACTAAGTAAAAGTAAAAGGGATGGAGATTGTTTTTTTTAATCTATTTATTTACTTCCGGACAAGAACAGAAAGGTTTAAATTGTTTTCTGTCTGTTATCGGAATGAAATATCGATTAACATGAATAAGTTGAACCTTATTTGAAAAAGCAAATATCCTTGCATACATTTTAAAGTTTATTTCTTTAAAAAAAAATCGCTTCAGGGGAACGCGAAAACTTTAATATCTAAAAAATACTGTAATTGATTTTTCACTTAAATTGTCTTAAATCATGGTTTGCAATCTTAAGACGTGACTATGTTCAACTAAAACTCAATCAAACAATAAATAACACACTATAATGTATAAGTCTTGTATTTTTAAACTTTCTAGTTTTTCATTCATATGATGTAACAAATGTTTAATTCTTTTGTCCAAAAGATTCAAGGGTCAATGACGGAAGAATTGTTTTATAGAATGGTTCAGCCAACCAACCTTCTCAAGTGGAACCACTCAATCAATCAGAAGTCATTATTATAAACAAGCTAAAACAATTGAATTTAGACAACATCCTGATTACTTTATCTCAATAAAATTAAAGTAGTAGGAATGACAACTCCATTTAGTTTTAAGCGAATGATAATTCCGTTTTAATGAATTTATTTTAATCCGTACAATAGACACATTTGAGTTATTTCCGCAGCCATTACGTTTAATATTTAACATTGTTGAATAAAATCGCTATTGTAAAAACATGGAAATAATAATAAGAATAAAAAAAGATTTATATAAATTGAAATTGACGTAATTTCACTCAAGAGTAAACAAGAAGTAAATCCATCTTTGAGTTTTTAATTCGGAAACAACTCAGAATGCGTATTTAAGGTGATAATAATTATAAAATGCGAAATGAGCCATTCCTTTCCATTTCCGAAACTTTTTAAAAATCCTGGGAACTGAGGACGCAAGATTTTTGTCGCAGCAAAATGTTTAATATATGAAAGCTCCCTATTATGCGGCAACTTTTATAATAGAAGGAGATTGTGGCCAAAAACAATCTAAAACACACTTTGAGGTTGCGAAGCATGAGAAAACTACTACTAGCTGCTTGGCGTGCATTGGTGTTTAGGAAAATTCCCTTTCTTGTGCTTTCAAATCCGTCATTATAGTGCTCGTAAGTATTCCTTTTTGTCATAAAATTTCTATAAATAGCCATGGTAAAATATAATAAAAATTAGAGCTTACGTACTTAATATGTTTCGGTACACTGAGAAAAAAAGTACGGTCAAAACTACCAGAATTATGCAATGTAGAAGATTTGGCTTTACTTTTAATATTGAAAACTTCAATAATTTTTAAATTTTGATAAATGTGGTTTTATCATGATATCATAGAGCATGGCATAAAAACTGTTTATTCGGTAAAATTTGACTTTCAGGTATGATTTTATTTTTATTAAATGTGTGATAATAAGAACTATAATTTTGAAAACCAGTATTTCCTATAAGCCATTATGGAAAAATTACCAAATGAATATTTTAAATACCATACAGTACGGTAATTTTACCAGAACTTTTTTCTCCGTGTAATGATTTACTATGATTCGGTAGATCAATTTTGAAAACAGTGTCATATATTAGGAACCTTCCTCCTACATTTTTCTCTTTTCGTCTTCAGCTAAAATACAAGAACTTGGTGCCACCCAGCTTTTAACTGAAAAGGCGTGAAGCCTAAGTCACAATAGCTGTCTAAAAAAGAATTAAACCTTTTCAGAAATCTTTAACAGATGACAAATAGAAGAACACTTAAGATAAAAACACCTCCAATTAGAGTCTCTCTGATAACAAAGAGAGAAGAATTAGTTTCTCCCTTAGTTTCCAGATAACAACTGTCAAATGCTTCTGATAGAACTATTCACAAAATAAATAAGATGGATAAATTGAATCTAAGCTTCTTGACAGAATAATGCCTTTATTAAAAAACATTTTTTTTTTCTTAATGTGACAAAATTTGTAAAATCGTCTCATTATGGCAAATTCACACTCTGGGTAACGTATTAAAAAGATATTTTATTCTTTTCGTTGTTCTTTCTGTTTATCGACTACCTTCTCTGACTATGGAAACGGACTAAGAAAACGGAGCAAAATTTTCCGCAATTTTTTTAAATACATTTTTATTTATGACAATAGTGTAAGCATTATTTTAATATGATAATTAACAAACAACTAGAAACTAATTTAAAACTTTTCTTTTTTTTACAGAAAATATACAAGAAGTTGCGAAACAATTTTTTAATTACTTTAAATATAAGAGACTTAATTATAAGTACAATTTAAAATGATTTATTTGACAGATTGAATAAAATGTATGACTTTAATGGACTAAGGCCTTTCGTAACATGTTAGTGAATTTGCGTGTATTATTATATTTAGAGTTTATAATCTGTAAAAAAATTCCGCATAAAATTACGGTATAAAGTATCTTCCGCATTTTGCAGAAATGAATTTTGGTAATTAGCTTCAACTTCCAGGGCTTAACTAATCCGCTTTTTGAATGTAACTGCAATTTTTGTATCCATATCATTTAACAAAATAAAAATTAAACAGATTGAATAATTTTCGATACAAAATCACATTTTCATGCACCATGTTAAATATTACATAATGCCGGCACTAAAGGAATAATTTAAAATTGATTGGTGCTGAACATCAATGTGAAATGCGATATAAATACAGACTTTCTTTTTTAAAAAAAAACATGCATTTCTTTTCAAGGAATTGACATTTTTCTTCCGTATGTAAGTAATACTTCATTTAAACTGCCCGCGTCTTGGCGTTTGCACTCTTTACCTAATATGCTGAGAAAAGACAGTTTGACGCAGAATTTTTCATTTACTAATGCACATGGAATTTCTTTTGTAACTCCAGTCACAAAAAACAAGAAAATTAAAAATTTGACTAAATAAATTAATATTGCTGTATAATTAGGCAAGATTAAGACAAGATATCGCCCAGAAATTTAAATGTTTTTCAAGAATGTCTCTTCTACCACTAATTTCTTCAATTTGAAATTGTATTAAGCAAAATTTTCCGTAATTTTTTTTAATACATTTTAATTAAAGACAATAGTGTAAGCGTTATTTTAATATGATAATTTACAAGCAACAGAAAACTAATTAAAAAATTTTCTTTTTTGTGGAAAATATACAAGCAACTGCAAAACAATTCTTTTAATTACTTTAAATAATAAGAGAATCACTGCTTTGATTTGAATACAAATCAGTTGAACGCTTATTATCAAACTACATAACATTGCATACATTATAATCGCTTTTTGTCAATTTTTGTCTTTTTAATTGCCTTAAATAAAATACGAATCACTGTTTTAATCTTAATATAAACTAGTTGAACACTTATTTATTAAATTACCCTTCACAATAAAAGTTTGCATACATTATTATCATTTTTTCTCTCTACACAATAAGCAATACTAAGTTAAAATAACTAACATAAGTTTATTAAATGGCAAAGGAATTAATTAGATAAAAATACACAAATTACTTGAAAACAAAAGCAGCAATCTAGTAGATGTTTAATGTTTGCATTTATAATCTTTTTTTTAATTTTTAATTTTTGTCAAAACAACCTTAAAAAAATAAGAATCAATGTTTTGATTCGAATATAAACTAGTTAAACTCTTATTTATTTAATCACACCTTATTTCAAAATCAATGTATAATAGTTTTTCTTTCTATGCAAAAAGTAATACTAAGTTAAAATTAACTAACATTAGTTTGTTAAGTAGCGCAGAAATTAATTATCATATAAGTAAACATAAATTATTTAGGAATAAAAGCAGCAAATCTAGTGGAGATTTTTGAATCTAAATCGCGTGATTCGAGGTAGTAATGTAAATTTTCTCCTAATTTTAAATAGAGTGCCCTTGTTGGGGATATATTTTTTGAGCACCGTGACGCCGTGGGTGACAGCTTGTTATGGTAATGCGATAGACTGCATTTCTTGGAAACATAGATTCTATTAAATGGATCTTTTTTAGCTTTTAAAGTGAAACTTATGTCTGTTTAGCACCACCTCCTGTCTTTTTAAAACGTCGGCGTTTCTTAGAATAGCTTTCAAGATAAAATGTTCTTTCTTTTTCACTTACGCTGTTTAAATATTTTTTCTAAACACAGCATTCTGACCACATACAAAGTAACTTAATATACACATTATTTTAATATATATTAGACATAGTTTTTTACTTCGTGACACAAATTACAGTTTTGTAGAAAGAT